CTCTCTCTGTCCCAAAAATAAAAAAAAAGTTGAAAAAAAAAAAAGCTGTACCTCAATCCATTTCACCTCAGAGTATTGCCCATGAACTTGTTCTCTGTAATTCTGAGGTACTTCTACCTCTCAAAGGGGATCTTGGTAACCTGATCTTGAGTAAACCCTAAATGTCTCATCTTAGAACAGTGAAGTGAAGTACATGAAAAGAAAACCAAAGATGTAGGGAGACCTAGTAGTTACTTTTGTGGTATTCATTTAATACAGAAAAACTAATACCTCTCTTGTAGTTTACATGGGGAGTTATTTATTTTGTCCTTTCTGTACTATCTTTACATGTGAAATACTGAGTTGGACTGTGTATGCTTTCCTCAGAGACTTCCTGTTAAGGATTGGCCACGCCCAATTCAGTTTAGCTAAGTGTGCTCTGAAAGGATCTCAGGCCAAGTTGGGTTGTCTTCAGATGAAGCATTGCATTTTCTTCTTGTATTTACATCTAAGTGTGCTCAGTGCTTGGAATAAGCACACATTTTCTGCTGTGGTTATTAGTATTCATACTCATGAAATACATACTGAACTCAAGTCAGGCACTGGGCTAGGCTGCGTTGCAGGGGGAGAAGATACAGCAGTAAAGAATACAGACATTGTCCCCGATTTAATGGAGTTTACATTCTAAATACTGTTGTCAGTATTTAGTTTGGGAAAGAAAGAAAAGTGGCTTATTAACCTCACAGGTATAATCAGAGAACAAAAGACAGATTATTAAAGGGAATGTGAGAAGGGAAGAAAGGCACGAAACTTTTCATTTAGATTTTCCCTGGGAAAATCTTAATTCCAAAACAGTGTAGGCTTTTGGCTTTAAGTATTCTTGGTTCTGAATTAATTGACACTCCTGTAGTGATAATTAGGTCATTCTGTCTTTATGCTTTTTTTAAATTAAAAAAAAATTAAATGTTTATTTTTGAGAGAGAGGGGCAGAGCACTAGCAGGAGAGGGGCAGAGAGAGAGAGGGAAAACACAGAATCTGAAGCAGGCTTCAGGCTCTGAGCTGTCAGCACGGAGCCTGACATGGGGCTCGAACCCATGAGCCATGAGATCATGACCTGAGCCAAAGTTGGACGCTTAGCTGACTGAACCATCCAGGTGCCCCTGTCTTTATGCTTTTATCAAACCAAAGGAGCAGTTTCAAGGAGGAAGGAACATGTGCCATTGGCTGCTGTGGAGAAAACAGAAATGTTGGTGTTCATTAATAGAAAGTGGTTCCTCTTTCTTTTGCTTTCTTTGTCCTTTTTCTACAGAAGGCAGGAATTAAGTTCATTGTTATTATAAAATGCTTGCCTGAAAGGGCAGGCCTTATATCTTAAATAAAAAATAAGGATCCACGACATAATTCACATGAGGGGATGGTAATTGGAACCTCTCTGTTCTCTGCATTTGGCTTTGAAGGTTCTGATGATATTGGGGGTTGTGTGTGGAGGGCCTTCTGTCATTGTGGTAGAGACTGGAGCTATTTAGGTTTCTGGTATTGAGGATTTCTAGTACATTTGTCTATTCTAGCACAAGGATACCATTACAGTTGACATTAATTGCATCGTGGATTTGTCAGGATTGGCTTCCTGGGTACTTGAATCTTGAGTTCTTTATATGTAGTTACCCTTCTTCTGGTTTTATGTTCTATAAGGCTTGGACACATCCAGTTTCTGTCCCAGGGTTGCAGGAGATGGGCAGGAGGTAAGACTTTTTAGAGGAGTGTTACTGGGAGATCTAGGCTCTCCAAAGAAAAGGATTCTTTTCTTCCCTTGCTCTTAAGAAACATTAACCTCCACAGAAGGGGTGGCTAGAGATGAATGTGCATACATACACAGTAGTCATGAGGTTCCTGGACCCTCGGATGCTATAGGCTGACAAAGTGCTGGCCCATTTAGCATTGATCATTTTAATGGCAGCAGGGTGTTGTGTTGTGATAACAGAACATGGAGCCTGGTGTTTCTCCCTGTTGTTCCTAATTCTTAATAATGTAATATTGATGAGAGAAAATGCATTGAAAACTGAGTACCACCTTTATTGTAGTAGGCTCTGGAAGCTCTGGGTGCTCAGAGGAATATCATATCTGGGTTTTGGAGGCTGTTCCTAGTAGTTCTGATGGATTCTTTCCTCTATACTGCACATTAAGATCATTAGGAGACTTTTTTTTTTGAAAGCTGAGAATGTGAGTCTTGACCTCAGGGTCATGAGTTTGAGCCCCACACTGGGTCTAGAGATTACTGGATCCTACTTCAAACTCAGGAAATTGGTTCAGCCCCATCCATTCATTTCCTCCTAAGAAGTTGCAGGCTTTATTTGCATTATGGTGAGCCTTTGATAAAAAGAAACCAACTTAATTTCAAAGTACTGAACAAGGCAGAGGAATTCCCAGTGGGCACTATTTTCAGAGTAACCAGAAGTATATTACTTCCAAGGGTGCCTGCCATGACTCTTGTCACTTGCTGTAGTTTTGCATCTCTCATAATACAGGCTGGACTAACTGAATGAGAATCAGAAGGCATACTTGAGCCTTTTGGTGGCGATCATGTGCCTAACCAAGGTTGGATACCTAGCAGCAAGCAGCCGAGCATGGGGATCTCTTTCTGCATCTAAAACTTGATAGGGGCCCCCTTCCTACCTCCATGAGCTCCACCCTTGCCTATTGCATTACTGACTTTTTGCCTAGTGTTCAGCTCCTTAAGCTAACAGCCAACACTAGATTCCTAGCAGTTTTTCAACTTATTCTTCTTTTGACTCTTAGATCAGACTTGTTGTGGAAGAGGGGTTGAATCAACTGCCATATAAAGAATGCATGGTGACCACCCCAACAGGTAACCAGGGCTGTTCCTCTCATATTCTCCTCATAAAAATTCTGAGAATCATGGGAAAATGGAAAAATAAGCAGTCTGAGTAAATCAGTAAATGAGGAGTATGACTAAATCAGTAAATGAGGAGTATGTAAAATGAGGAGTCTAGGTGAAGCCTAGACTGAGGTGGAGCCTAAGTTGTTCTTTTAAACAACTTAATAAACTCAGACACATTTAGTAAAGAAATTTATGTGGATGACTTTTTGTTAATGGCTTGCTTGTCAGTTCAAGTTAAAGGTTAATAAATATGCTTTAGCATGCAAGTGTTGCCTTTGATAACAGCCCATTGGGATAAACTGGCAGCTTATCTTCACATCTGTAGGGAAGCTGCTGGTGTTAATAAATAGGTGGGCTGGTTTGGCACTGAAACTCCAGGTGAAAGAATGAGAAGTAAAAAAGACAGAGAAAATGAAAAATGTTGAGAACTGGAGAGGGTACTTTGTTTTACTCTAATAGAACACAGCTGAACATCCCTATTTCAGGAATTTGAAATTCTGATTTTTTTCTTTAGTAAATAATGAAAGCTGTTCTATTCAGAGGTTGACTTTATGAAAATTGGGGGCTGAGATTGTTGCATCATAATTGATACAAAATCAGTATGAAACTAAGGGTTGAACATGTCTAGGTAATGACTTCAGCCTTTGTCTTCTGCTTTTTAAGGCAGAATTGAAATTCAGAAAAAAGGATGGAATGAGTAGCCTCTCTGCTGTGGCTCACAGTGTGGTCTCAGTTTGAATTGATGGGGTTTATAGCACTCAGAGTGCAATGATTCCACTCTGAATTCAATTTGAGGAATGTGTATGTGAATATCATGCTATCATAAATCTTGTTCCTCCTCAGTAAAGTCTACCTCTCCCAATTATCCCCACAGGTTTCTTAGGAAGAATTAAGAAATAACTGAAAAATCATGACTCTTCTCATTACTTTCACAAGGAGTCTAAGAGGTTATACAGAATGTCTAGACAAGGATTGCTCTGTACCCAACTGCTTTAAACTATAGGTAGGCACTTTATAAAATAAGTGGATTGCTCCAGTGATGAAAGATAAATTCTTTGGTTTTGTTCCCCAACAGGGTACAAGTATGAAGGAGTGAAATTTGAGAAGGGAAATTGTGGGGTCAGCATAATGAGAAGCGGTAGGTTTGCATGTGTGTGATTTTTGTCTCTTTGCATGCATAGAAACAGTTTTTTTTTTTCCAGGAGAGAGGTGAGCTTGTCTGTCATAATTGAAGCCTGCCTTGACTTAAATCTCACCACTTGTGTTGTCTGTCCTCATGGTGCCTTGGATGATGGCCTCTGTATTACTGAATTTGATTTTAACTGCAGGGCATCTACTCCATTAAAATAAATAAGCTTTCAGAGAGATTCAGGGTAGGATGGGAGGATAGGATGATGAGATGATGCTGTCCTGGGGAGAACAGGGCAGTTTGAACACTGACGGAATATGGCACAAATTCAGGCCTGCAGAGCTTTGAATACCTGACTGGAGAAATGTTTGTTCTGTTTTTGTTTGTTTTTATAGGGAACAGTCCTACCCTATCAGGAACTGGACTGAATGACTTATTCAATATTTTTAGTTTTATATTTGATGTGTATGTGACTATATGGCAAAAGCACTTAAATGTTATTAACTCTCTATGTATTTCCAAATTCTGGTCTTATAAATGCTGCATTTGTATTTGAGTCCAACTGATTACTCTTCTAAACCAGACTTTATGCAACAAAATCACATGCCTGTAATTAGAGCGTCTACCTGTTACATGGGGAGGATTATTTTTATTCAGCAACTTAACAAATAAATTAACTAATTTTTGCACAAGGTCCCATTGTTCCGTAGAAGCCTCACTTGCACTAGACAAATGAATTTTTTCTACATACAAGCATTGCCTTTTCTGTGGCTGTCAAGTTCTGTTTGTAAACAATTGAATACCTCAAGTAAAATAGAAGCGTTTAGCTCCCTTTTTTATATAAGGTAGCTTTTAAGCAATGATCGTATTTTCAGAACAATGGTATTTAACCTTTTAAAACTGGTGAAGACAATGGAGATGGGCTTTAATGGCATTTTTTTCTTCTATTTTAGTTCAGTTCCTGCCGTAACGTCAGTGGCATCTTCACACCCCTAGTACATAGCAGATGACCTTGGGGTAATGCATAGACAGGGTTATTTTTTAACCTTATTAGCTGTTGGTTGATTTTCCTATATATTAGAAACTGTTTTTATGTTTACAGTAGTGATAGAAAGTTTCCCCTTAAAATAAATGTAAATGAAAATAGTTAAAGAAAAATATTAAGTAAATAACAATACAGGTAGAATTCTGATGTGGCCTCAAATCTTGAAGATGGTACGAGAATGATTGACTTTTGGCAAATACTTTCTAATGGAATTCAGACTCAAAATGACTCAGTGTTCAGAAACCAAGTGGGTAGTAGTAGCGTTGGTTATGGTTCTTGGGGAAGGGGAAGAAGGGAACAGTATAGTTTTTCACTGTTTGCCAGCAAACTTCTGCCATTGAAGTCATTGATGGGGATTAGTGATATCTCCTGATGGAGATATCTCCATCTCCTCCTCCTTGGTCTGTAGCCCTCATTTCTTCCATAAATCTTTTATATATCTTTTCAGATGAAAATACCAGGTTTAGGTGGTTTAAAAGTCTTCCTTAAAATAATAAGAGTAAAATGGTCCTGATACTGGAAAAGCTCAGGGAGCAGCCTAACAAAACACTATTTGTTGAATTTCATGGAAGCGTGTGACATCCCTCAAACTTGAAAGCCAGCAATAAAGATAAGCTTATCCTACTTTCATTGGCCAGCCCTTAATCTGGCTTAATTGACCTGCACTAAGTATAAAATATGAGCATATTAGAAATGAAAGCTCTTAAGAAGAATTGCTCCCATTTTGGCAATGTCCTTTTTGTATTAATTATAGTCACATGCTCTGCTTTGGCCTATTTTTGGACCTTATTTTTATCTCCCCCTACCCTTTTTTTCTTTTGAAAATTTTCCTTTTTTCAAGGTGAGGCAATGGAACAAGGTTTACGAGACTGCTGTCGATCTATACGAATTGGAAAGATCCTGATTCAGAGTGATGAGGAAACACAAAGAGCCAAAGTATATTATGCCAAATTCCCTCCAGACATTTACCGGAGAAAAGTTCTTCTGATGTATCCAATTCTCAGTGAGTGGCTGGAGTTTAATTTGTATACTTTGCTTAGGGTTTAAAGCAATTCCACTTAGTGACTTCCTTTTAGGTACCCTTACATAAAGGCAAACCCCTTTCTAAATATGTTTTTCTGTTGGATTTGGAGTTGCCCTGGGCAGTTTCACTGGGGAATTTTTATTGTGTAATAAGAGAATATATGTTATCTAAATTTCTTTTAGCTCCAAAGAGCTTTTGTTTTAACAGGAGTATTCACACTGAAGCAAAGGACCTAATGAGGCAGAATATATAGAACACAGAAGGTCTATTGAAATATGTCCCTTCTCTAGCCCAGTGAGCATAACAGTGATTTTCTCAAGGATTTATCCTCTCTGGAAGTAATATTTTTTCTCCTATTGTATTGTTTCCTAAGCTTACTCAGATCACACACGACATTGTCTCCTAGGGTTGGTGGTGGAGGGTGGGTGTCAAATTTGATATCTCTAATACTGAATGAATTTAGGGTTTGTTGTGCATTTGAAAATTGAAAAGTGTATGTGTCATGTCCATTATTGAAAATAATGTCATTGGTAAAGAAAAGGTACCTGCAAATGAAGCTTTGCCTAGTGTCTTATGTTAGATTACTAAACTGCCTTTAACTTCAAAGAAACTTCAAAGACGTTTTGAGATAAATGTTAAAGTTGCTAATGCATTTGGTTGTCATTTGATTTCAGGCACTGGAAATACTGTAATTGAAGCTGTAAAGGTTCTTATAGAACATGGAGTTCAACCCAGTGTTATTATCCTACTCAGCCTGTTCTCCACTCCTCATGGTGAGTTCAGCATGAGGCAGTAACTGGGCCTTCAGATGGTCAAGGGTTGGGTAAGTGTGTATCTGCCCAGACTCTCATGGGGAGAAAAAGTTCATTTGCTTCCACATTAAATCTAAATCTAATTTTGGTAGTTTATAACTTGTGTTAATAAGCTTTAAGCTGGGTGATAGGATATTTTACACCATTCTAATGTTCAAATTGATATGGAAGGTGATGAACTAATCCCTTTGAAGGGGATTGCGATTGTTTTTGTGGTAACATTGTTTGGGTAGAGCCTGCGAATAGCTGAAATGTCTCTGTTTCTCCTGACTTCTCAGCCGAGCCTGAGTACTGCTCCCACACCACAATCAACTTGAAGATCTGGTTAGATTCTGTGGTCTTGCTGCAGTAAACTTTGCAGCATGAAGCAAAGATCAGAAGTTTTTTTTAAGTTCTATTTCTGCTCAAAGGGCATAATGGTAGAACTGTGTGTTTGTTCTCCATTTCCTCAGGAAAATAAACCTAATGTAAGGCCTTAGTTTTTTTTAACATACAATCTAGGACAATTGTGAAAGTGTCCTAAGAAAATAATCATACATGCATGTAGAAACTTAGCTTTCAGGATGTTCATTGCAGAGTTATGTCTACTGTAAGAATAAATTCGATAGTATATAAATGCCTTACAATAAAGAAGTGGTTAAGTAAATATATATTCAAAGGATGTAATATTATATAACTAAATCATGTTTTTGAAAAATATTTAATAACATCAAAACATCTACATGGTAAATGTTAAAAAGTAACTGCATTAGAATAATGTAAAATGTTATCACCAAGTTTAGAGACAATTAAGACAAATTACGACCATTATCACTACCACAATCAGACTTGGATTTAACATCGACCCTAATAAGTGTTTCCTTAGCATGAGAGGCTAGACAGATGCACAGTACTATTTCAAATTTAATTTCAAAATACACACTATATTAATAGTGGTTATCTTAGGCTGGTGGGATTCTAAGTGCTTCATTTTATTTTTTAAGTTTTGTTTTTGGTATTTTTCAGATGTTTGACAATGAATTTGTATTTGTTTCATAATTGAAAGGAAAAAGAAATATGTGGCTTCTAGTTAGAGTGCTTCCTCATGTCCAAAGGTTCCAAGTCTCAGCCAACCCTGAAGAGGCTACAGCATATCTTGTTGGGAGGGCTGCTTTCAGTAGGCCATTGATTATTTTGCTGTTTCATAATAAAAACTTACTGGTAGTTCAAATGTTGATGGTGACAAAGGGCAATTTGCTTGGTCATCCATTTATATATAGCAGAGACGGCACTGTAAATGTTGAGATAACCAAATAATTATTGGGCTTTCTGCCTTTGGAAGTAGAAAAGTAACTGTATTAGTTCTAAGAGTATATATTAGAATAATATACTATTCTTTGACATTGTAGATGAAAAAATCTTATTTTGTGACAGCATCATTATGGCTTTTTAGTTTGGCTAGGGTCCTAGCTAGACTCTTTCCATGCAACCCCCAAAGCTAGAGTCCTAACTTCTAAAAGCTAGCTCGCTCTGACATACCAAATAAGTTTTCACACTTGTTTCAGTGTTCCAGTTGAGAAACCATCCATCATCTTATATATGATGCTGTTTCTGGAAAGGAGTATATATTCTTTCTATTGTAGCTGCCTTTAAAATGAAACAAAACAGGGGAACCTGGATGGCTCAGTTGGTTATGAATCCTACACTTGGTTTTGGCTCAGGTCATGATCTCACGGTTCATGGGTTTGAGCCCCATGTCAGGCTCCACGTGACATTGCAGAGACTGGTTGGGATTCTCTCTCTCTCTCTCTCTGCTTTCTCCTCTCTCTCTCAAAAATAAACACTTTTTTTAAAGAAAGAATAATTTAAAATGAAAACAAAACAAAGACTTCAGGGAGAAAGTTGCTATAACTGAATGTATTTGTAATATCTCGGATATAAAACAATTTGATTCTAAGAATTCATTAGTTACTGGGTGAGGGCATAGTGTGATGATTGTCAAAGCTTTTCAGGTATCAGACATATAAACTAAGAGATTAGCAAAGTCTGACTAGGAGGTCATTGCTTTCTGTCTTATCTCATTTTTTTAAATGTTTATTTATTTTGAGAGAGAGACAAACCGACAGGGGTGAGTGGGGGAGGGACTGAGAGAGATGGAGATACAGAATCTGAAGCAGGCTCTGGGCTCTGAGCTGTCAGCACAGAGCCTGACGCGGGGCTTGAACTCACAAGCCACAAGATCATGAGCTGAGTCAAAGTCAGACGCTTAACTGACTGAGCCACCCAGGCGCCCCTTCTGTCTTTATTATACTTAGTGGCTATGAAATTCCTGAATTCCAGCTAATGTTACCAAAAAGTCCTGCCATAACAGCAGTTTTCCTATTATTTTTTGAAGGTGCCAAATCAATCATTCAGGAGTTTCCAGAGATCACAATTTTAACTACTGAAGTTCATCCTGTTGCACCTACACATTTTGGACAGAAATATTTTGGGACAGACTGAGTTACCAAAGACAAATTAATTATCTTGTGTAATATTACAGTTAATGTTTTGAGTTTCTACCTGTTTTACGAATTCACTTGAAGAATGGCAAAGAAAATTATGCTTTATAATTTTTGGAAGTGGGTATAGTAAAAATTATTTACTGTACTTTAATGTATTTGGTTATTTCTTGACTGTTGGCACCAAATTCAACAATGCAGCACACACAACTCTTAGAAAATATTTTAATAATATTCTAATGCAAGTTGATGATCCCTCAGTGCATGGACACTGTTTCTTAATTTTTGAACCTCTCAGTTTGGATGTTGTTTGCAGCCACAAATAAAACCCAATGGGATTCTGTCCTTTGGCCCACTCTACTTTACATTTTGTTTAGTTTGCTTTTAGTTCTAGGGAGATTTCATGTTTATGGCTGTTGTCACCTTCTTCTCCTCTTTACTTCCAAGTACTATACATGCTGGTAACTTGGGCAGGGTGAAAAAAGAATGCCTCCTGGAATTTTACATTTCGTTAATATCCTCACTCAATTAGCAGACCAAGAATATGTAGTTAGCTCTTCAGTCAAGCCATTAATGTTCTTCGTGGCTCAGTTCCCATCGTGTGCATTGTTGGTAGGTGCCTTGCCAAGCGTAATGCAGTGAAGAGATGATGGAGCATTTCCAGCAACTGGAAATATAACGTTAATTTACATAGATAGATTGAGCCAGGGATATCTGGATGCTGACAAGGGAGGGCTAATTACTGTTAATGTCATCAATGCCCTAGAAAGGAATTGGTGGTGATTTTTCTGAGGTATGGGGAAGAACAGTTTCTTGCTGAGTTTTATGGCCAGTAAGTACATTAAAATGCTACATTTTCAATTTGGATATTTCATATGATTTGGAAATGAGTTATTTTGCATGCCTGTCAACTGAAGATGTATTAAAATTAAAAACACCATATTTTAAAAATTCTCCAGTTATATATGTGTTCATATTTAGGCCTTGAAAAGGAAGATAAACTGTTATAGAAAACAATATTTGTGTTTGGAAACTTTCTTGTAAAATCCTGATCTCATTTTACATTGATAATAAACATTTTAACAGTGGTTCTGGCTGGTTACTTGAATAATTATATTCTCATTGCCCCATAGGCAGTTGTTGTGAGCCTCTGTTCTAAAATATCCAGAAAAGAGCAAAAGGAAACAAAGCTGATGAAAGTCAGCAAAGATTAGGGGGCAGGAGCAAAAGCTGGTGGACAATGGATTACATTTTCCCTATAGATCCTAGGAATGCTAAAAGGACTTCACTATATTTTTCCCTTTATTTTTATTTTTTTTAGTTTTTATTTAAATTCCAGTTAGTTAACAGAGTGTAATAATTAGTTTCAAGAATTTAGTGATTCATTGCTTACATCTAACACCCATGGCTCATCACAAGAAGTGCCCTCTGAATCCCCATCACCTATTTAACACATCCCCCACCCTACCTCCCCTCTACTAACCATCAGTTTGTTCTTTATACTTAAGAG